TTTTTAAAATACTCATTGATTTTCATAAAGATTGTCTTTTATGATAGAGTGTATTATAAAAAATATAATATAAAATTGCACCAGCCACCAGTTATATTCAAACATTTCTGCCACTGATCATATTTATAGATTCTTGAAATATTTACTTTTATAAAAAATTTGATAATATTGTATTGATATATATCATATACGACATGATGATACCGAATTATACTTTGATAAATTTTAAAATATTAATTTAATAATACACATTGGGCATTAAACTATTTGCGCAATGCATGTGGTAACTAATAACTAATATATACATGAAAAACTCAACTAATCTAGTTTGTTGAATAATTAATTTGGTAATTACATTTTGAATTAAGAAATGAACCAATATGAATAAACCAATATGGATAATAATAATAATTTTTATGATGTACAACATAAATCTTAGTTATTGAGTTTTTCTTCCTCCCATCTTGAAACTTCTAATATATTGACCTTGAAGAGTGAAATTTCTTCAATTTAATACGTGTAACTACAAAAACACTTGGGAAAAATTAAATGAACTAATTTATGACCATTATATTATCAAAATCAAGATTAGAAGGCACAAGGTCAACACAAAAATAGATATGGAAGACTCTAATATAGTTGTCTCCTATGCCATCATGCTTTAAAAAAAAAATGAAATAGGAGTGCACTTTTAGAAGAAATAATGTATTTTTTTTTTCCAAAATAAGTCTATATTATTTGTTTTGCTAGTAATAGTAGAGTACATGTTCGAATCCTGCTAATGACAAAAAATAAAAAGTACTCCGTATGAATTTAATCTTGTTATAAGTATTAGTGTACAAGTATTTGGGGACATGTCAACCAGTTAAAACACATCTCATTATTTATTTCATTTCATCCACAGTTTTCAGCGTAGGAGCAGTGACAAAATTCTTAATTAACACCAATAAAGGCAAATTGGAATTGAATTTGCTTTTAAATTAATTAATGCTCTATTATCTAACTAATTAATTAATTAATTAGACTTTGTGTTAATAATTAGTTATATATGTTAGTTTGTCCTAATAAGGTGAGCTGGCTCCAAAGTCCAAACTCATTGGAGTAGACAGAAACACAAGGCTAGGTAGCATTAACTAGAAGATCAGAACAGCATGCAACTATGCAAGCTAGCTAGATAGTCTCCTGGAGTAGGAACAAATGTACGTGAAAAATAAGGAGGACTACTACTACATATGCAGCAAAACGTAGTTACCAATGCACAGATTGTGGATTTGGATCAGGCAAAGACAAAAAAGATTCATTGAAGATAGAGTTCTCCATTTGCAACGTAACGTGCCGACTTAATTTGTCATGTCTATTTTAATTTGATAGGCACTTGAATTGGTATGTGTATGTAGGGCTGTATTAGACTCAAGAGACCTATGATCAAACAAAAAAAATCCTCACAAAATCTTTAGGGCCCGTTTGGCTCACGCAATGTTAGATTACCTTATAGAATGTTAGATTGCTGGGAATGTTAGATTTCTGTGTTTGATTAAAATTGAGGTATGTATATAATCATGTTTAGTTTAGGGTTATCTTTATATATATATATATATATATATATATATATATATATATATATATATATATATATATATATATATATATATATATATATATATATCCTTAACATATTTTCATATATTTTAATAAATTTAAAAATTAAATTAAATAAATAAGATAACGGTATCATATATAATTATATGAACTAAAATCTTGAACTTGAGAAACAAAATTATTTTATATGCTAACATAACATAATAAAAAATATATAATATAATTACAAAAATAATTATATATAATAGTAATAAGCTAACATAAAATATATATCTTTAAAAAATTAGAATTAAAATGACAAAATTTATAAATATCCAATGTTATCTTATATTACCTAATAAAATGAAGGGAATCACATTCCCTTCAAAATCCTATGTGGAGGGAAAGTTGCATTTCCTGGGAATGTTATATTCCCTCAGAGAATATGAACCAAACATAGGAATGTAAGCTCGGGAATGTCAGATTCCCTTAGTTATGCAATATAACTTGAACCAAACGCCCCCTAAATCTTTTAGAAGTACTGTGTAGGGCTGTATGCCTGTATTAGACTTAAGATACCTATGATCAAACAAAAAAATCCTCACAAAATTTTTTAATCTTTTAAAAGTACGATGCGCACGACCTGAAACATACGAGATTTATTAACAACTAAGTGAAAACAACTGAATGCATGAGTGTTCCAGGGTGACAATTTCAATCCGTTCTGTGAATGTTGACAATCCAAATCGACCCCACCTGAATTAGATTTTTTGAGTAATAACAGGTGGTAGGTCGGGTGAATCTTAAAAAATTAAACAGCAGTGGATCGGGTTGAATGTAGATTTTTGAATTCCACCTGACCAACCGTGTGTGTGTGTATATATATGTGTATATATATATATATATATATATATATATATATATATATATATATATATATATATATATAAAATTATTAGTAAAACAAGTACTAGAATGTGGTCAATTATAAAAACTTAATAATTATGATTAACATTTTACTATTTGTAGTTCTAAACTAATAAGTTTATTAAAAAAACATAAACAATTTAGTTATTATAATTAAATATTTTTATATGTTATATTTTAATATAAATAACTAGTGAATTTTATTATTTTATTACTGTAAGTAATTTAAATATTATTATTAGTTTCTGAAAATTTTTAATAAAATAATAAGTAATAGGTACTTGCATTCGGTAGGTCGGCGAGAATAATTAAATTTTGAAAAAGTCCATTCGTTGTTAGTTGAGACTGAGAATGAGTAAAGAATGCAAAAGGTACGGTGAGTCAGGTCGAGGATGTAGCTATCCTGATCCACCCCGACTTATTATCATCTCTATGTGTTCCTTAATTAAAAAATGACAACCCCACTAAGGACGTGATTTTGTAATCCAATGGTACCATGTTGCTTCCCTATGTGGGAGGTGATAGGTTTGAGCCAAAAAGAAGGCATTTGATATAATTGAGTATCCCTTTTCTATAAATAAAATAAAAAAGAATGATATAATTGGGTATCCCTTCCTATAAATAAAATAAAAAAGAATGACGACCCCCCATCCATAATATGATAACATTTTATTAGTAATTATATATATTTTGTAGTTATCCCTACTTGTTACCAAAGGCCACAAGCCCCTATTATTTAAGCGGAGTAACACCCAAAATGTTGGACGATGTATTCTAGGCTTGTTTCTTGATTCGGCTTATTTGTTTTCTGCCTATATTATACATATTATTGTTGAAATAGGATTGTATACTCCAAAATATCACGTTTCCATTTATCTATTTATTTGCTTACCCCGTTTCAAAATGTTGGAAATTTAATTTTCTTATTCTCTCAAAAAGTTGAATCCCCAATCCAAACAGAGTACTGTCTACTTTGAGCATAATTCTCACACTGCGATTGGTAAAGTTCGAACCATAGTCTCTTCTTTCAAATACTGCATACTGAATTAGTGAGCTAGCAGAAATTTAACTTTCTAGCTTTGAAGTGTGTTGTAGAAACTCATTCGAAATATGATATTCTGCAAAGTCACCAAGTTGCTTTCTTATATGGGAAGTTGTGGGTTTGAGACTCAATAGAGACGATATTGACTTTTTGTATTTCAGTAGATTGAGAAAGTAGTTATGAACATATATTACCGTGTAACAGAGTCAGTAATACTAAAAAAATTGATGTTTTGCAATGTTAATGCGAGTATTAGGAATTTTGTTTGTGCAAGTATTTCCAAATAGGGTTTTCAAGTTTCTTCAAAAGCCCATCAACAACAAGACAACCCTGGCCCAAACCAGGGGCAAATTATGCTGTGGACCTGGGTCCACTTTGCAAGGTAGATTCGGTTCAAAACGGCATCATTTGCGTCAAAACGATGCCGTCTGAATTAAATAATGATCCACTTTGCAAGGTAGATTCGGTTCAAAACGGCGTCGTTTGAATCAAAACGACGCCGTCTGAATTTAAAAAAAAAAATTATTTCCTTCCTTGCCGTTAACTTGTTTGTCTTCAAAATTCATTCCTCTATATTCACAATTTTAGAACTTTATATTCACAATTTTAGAATTGAATATTCACAATTTTAGATCTCAATATACAAAATTACAAAACTCAATATTTACAATTGCAGAATTTTATATTCACAATTTTTGAACTCTATATTCACAATTTTAGAACTTGATATTCACAATTTTAGATCTCAATATACAAAATGACATAACTCAATATTCACAATTGCAGAACTCTATATTCACAATTTTTGAACTATATATATATATATATATATATATATATATATATATATATATATATATATATATATATATATATATATATATATATATATATATATCATTGGCTGAGGAAACGGTGCCACCATGACACAACAATTGCAAACTAAGAATTCCGGCAAATTATACTAGACAAAAATTTGTGCCCATGAGACGGGTTGAATATGAAAATATAATACTTATATGGAAAAACTATAATACTAATCAGGAATAAAATGTTTGTTACATATAAAAAAAAAAATGTAATACAAAAAAAAAAAAATGTATCTTTTACATTTTGATTTAAAAGTATTATCCTTATTCTTCATTAATATTACATTTTTAATATAAATATTACATTTTCATCTGGACTCAACTCGCCTCTCTCGAAAGAATCACTTATTATACTATGCAATATGGATAATGAATAAATGTCTATTTTAAATAAACTAAAAATTTATTATTTTTAATATATTGAAGGTTCATTACTTGTATAGTGAAGGTTCATTATTTAATATTATACTATATAATAAACTTTTATTACACAAATAATGAAGCTTAAGAAAAGAAGGTTTCAATATCTTTAAAATGAGTATTTAATATATTAAATATGTACTTTAGGTTAGTAATTCACCTTATTGAAAAATTCATAATAGTAATTTGACTATTTGAGAGTGAGGCAGAAGAGCTATAAGACTAGATCTCTCTATACATAAAGTTGTGGTGTTGGACCGACAACAAAAGGCTTAGGCCATCCATGATCCATCCTACAGGCTACAGAGACAAGGTTATTTGATCTGTTGTTTCCTTCATTCTTTGGTGGATTGGAAAACAAAGACAAAAACTAGTTTCTTAATTAACATACTAATAAGGAAAACCAGAAAACACCCAAAGAAACTACACATTGATGCTGCTAAGAAACTGAATGCCTACCCTTTCTTAAAGGTGAAGATTTTGCTTCTTCCATGGTGGAGCCAAGGCTGTCTGATGAATCCGAGCCGCTGTTCTCCCCGCCGCCCTGTCCTCCGCCGCCTTTGCTGCTTGACCACATTCTCGAGAAGATCCTTTTCGACATTAGCAAGCCCTTGACTTTACTAATGGCCGCCTTGTCAGCATTACTAGTGCTCTTAACTCTCTCCGCTGCACTTGTATTCCCCAATCGCAGCGCAGCCAGCTCGCCTCTCAAAGCTTTAAGCTCGTCCGCAGAGGCTACTGCGTCCCAGTCTTCTTCTGGATTAGTCGCCACGGATCTTGAGCTCCCGTACGAGGTGCTGTTGAGGTCCTTGATGGCTTTGGGAAGATCGGGAGTGCTGCAACCAGACGATGCTCCATTGGCCTTCACTTGCTCGAAAAACAGAACCTGTACGATGACTCGCATAGGGAGTCTCTCGTTCTGAACAGCGTGCATGCAGGCGTCTACCGAGAGCTTTTTGCAGTCCATCAGCCTGCATATTCTCTTCCGCTCACTCTTGCTGATCCCAGGGTGCCTCTAAAGCAATACCACGTATTAGTACTACTGACTCTGTTACAATGCAGTATCTGTTCATAACTACTTTCTCAACCTACTGAAACACAAAGAGTCAATATCGCCTCAGTCTCAACCTACTGAAACACAAAGAGTCAATACCGCCTCAGTCTCAACCTACTGAAACACAAAGAGTCAATACCGCATTCACTGAGGCTTAAACCCACAATCCTAAGTTTAAAGACTAGAGTTTAAAGACTAGATATTGGTTGTTTTGTTTTGGTTTTTTTAGTACTACTGGCTCTGTTACAATGCAGTATCTGTTCATAACTATTTTCTCAACCTATAGAGGCTTGAACTCACAACCTCCCATATGGGAGAGCAACTTGGTGCCACTAGACCACAAGGTCCTTGGCACTAGATACTGCTTGTTATTTTGGGATTTTGTATTATATATCTTAAAGAAAAAGGGTGGGGTGAAGAAATCAATCTCACCTTGAGGTACATGTCAATTGCACGGTAAAGTCCATCGTGAGAAGGGCGGGGAAAGCTTGAGACCATCTCGGCCAAACCAACAAATGTTGTGGAGGGCAGATTGGGGTCTTCTGCAATCCCAGCAAGGTACCCATCTACTAACTTTGCCACCATCAGTTTTGATGCTTCGGATAAAATGCCTGCTGGCTTTCGAGCATGGTTGATCTCACCGCAAGTTTCTAGTGGAGTTTCATCAGAGTCTTGATCACGCAACATAAACTCTTTCAGCATTTGCTGGACAACGTGGACATCGTACAGGGTTGTGTCCCCATTTGAGGCTCGAATCAGAAGATCATTCACGGAGGCCTCATCCAGTTGATGTCCGATTCTTTTAACTAGTTCGCCCTTGGTATGTTCTCCTAAATCGAGTGAAATGGATAGTTTCAACAATTTGAGTAAGAAACCACAAGAGATGCTACCTTTCTCGGAAGGCAGAAGCCACACAACTGTATCCAATATTGAGCGATACTTCGAAGCATCGTTGTTCTGGATGACACCCTTGCCAAAGCCTTGCAACTTTCTCGAAGCATAAGCTTTCAGAGCTTCTCCGATGACTTCATCAGAGACAATCCCTTTGTTCTTGATACTCATAATAACGCGCTTATATGTATCTACTTCAAGTTCAGACAAGTCTTCAACCCACCAATCCTTTGGCACCATCCGGCTTCTTGCACCATCAAAGTTAGGATCGATGTCATTATTCTCCTCGTGAATCTTTTTCCGGTTATATGTATAGGACCAATCCACCTTGGAAACATCAATAGATGCCCTGGAAGCTATAGCTTCAACGCAATGGCCGACCAACTTCAACTCCTCACACATAGGCAAGTGAGATTTTGTGGTTTGAAGAACTATTATCGAATCCTTCCAGCTTTTAAGTATGCTCGAGTTCAAGAAAACATCAATCTTGTAAATGAGGTTTCCTTTCTCGACATTTTCATTCATTTCCAGATACTCAGCAGCACACCGTGCTGCAATCAGATTGTAAGCATTCAGTGTTACGGTCATACCATAACAGAACTTGGCACATATTTCAAAGGCAGTGTGCCCTCCGGGAATGTCACGAATGTGCACTTCATCACCGTTCCCTTCATTTGAGTTTGTAACCAGCTTTTGCAAATGAGCACTCTTGGACAGAAGAGGAAACTGCAGCACCAGTTTGGGCAGTCAGTCAGTATCAAGTATTCAACGCATAAATTGAATTCATGGGTGTTGAGCATATAGCCACAATCCAACTATCAGCTTAGGCTTTTAGTTGAGATAGAGCACATGCTTCAATTTGGTATCAGAGCCAGACCAAAGGTCATGGGTTCGAATCATAGACAATCACAGAACTATTCAAGTTAAACTTCTTTAGAGTTTGAGACATCAATAATATGTTGTAGAAAGACAGTTTAAAGAGAACTTCTTAGCTCATAGTCATCTACTCATCTCTTAGTTATCATCATACCTTATGCAAGTAAAACTTCACATCCCCAATATGAATGATGATGTCGGAGGCCAACTCAGAAGCAACATATCTGCGGGATAGTTTCTCAGTTCCGGAAATTTACTAAAGGAAAATGAACTAATAAGCAGCTTAATAGTAATAAACTTTTGAGAAGGGTAGCAAAACATCTTACCTGAGGTTGTTCCCTTCTGATTGAAAGCAATCAGGCTTGGATCCAAGTTTCATGAACTTCATCTTGGCAACTTCAATTCAAGATTTGTTCCTCGATCTTATACTTCAATGTCTGTCACTCAACTGATAACTGTAAAATGAAATACCTCTGTGTTCATTGGCTGACAGACTAAAAGATCAAATACAATTCAACTAACCCCGAAATCTGGGCAGAAAATAGAAGGACTCAAAGGTAGGTGTGGGGACCAAATTTCTGAACTTCAAGGGGAGGGTAATAAGATTCCAAGATGGGAAGGATATATGCCTTGTATGACCGAATCTTGACAGCAACCAAGGCAAGGTAGAGAAATGGATCGGAGAAATGGTTATTTTATGCTTAAAGAATCGAAATGATTCACTTAAACGGGAAGAGAGCCAGAGCTAAGAAATTGTTTCCTTGATCGGCGGCAAAGCCCCATGGACCCCGGGCAACCTAGTCAGTCCAGGAGACATAACCACCAGATTCTCAACACTAAATTATTCCCAAAAACCAGAGACACATCAATCTGACTGCACCCACGTCTCTCCTTCTCATTTCTTTATTCCCTTCTCCATTTCTCTCCACCATAAACAATATTACTAAAAGCTTCATTAAAGATTCAATCTGTGTTATAAAGTTCCAAAGTTTCCACCTCATAAAGAACTCACATGTTTGTAAATCTAGCATGCTTAATATATACATATAAAATCGTATTTTTTAAATATATATCATACCTGCTGCAACGGAAAACAGCATCTCGCTGTCAGTTGAAGAAACCACCACAACGGTAGACAGCAAGCATCTCCCCCACAGTTTTTGCAAAGCTGGAATATAATAAACAAATGACTATCAGAGAATATCATAAAATATGCATTATTTAAGGCGAAATCATACATCAGCAAACACCAAAATCTGAGGTAACTCAAAGAATCATTTCATCAAACACAAATCTTGCAGTTATTAAAATAACATACGCATCTAGAAACTAAGAAAAGATGAAAGAAACTCCGATCCCCTCCAAAACCATGTTTTTTAATTTCATCTTAGCTTTTCAATAGACGACACAACCCAAAAGTCACTCTCCTTGTAAACCTCAACAAAACCCAAGACTTGCTACTTACATTAACCCTTGTAGAACACAACAAATAAAGTCGTCTCTTTCACATACATCAAGACAGTGATATATAGAATCACTACTATACCCTAAAATGTCACCTCCAATCTGCAGCTCAATTGCTTCAAGAAACAACTTTGAGGATATCCAGAGTAGACAAATGAGGCCAAACCCACATGTACAAATCTATCAACAATAACTTGTGCACAGAAACCAACCAAAAGAAACTACAGAGGCCACCGCCATTATGTATTTCTTTCCTCTTCTTTTCTTTTTTTACGAGCTTACCAGTTTTGCTAGAACCGGCGTTAAAAGTTTTTGGTACCAGAATTTTCCTTTCTTGTTAAAAACGAAAGCAAAAGTGGACACCTCGCCCCAATATATTTCGTTTTCTCGCTATGGAGCATAACATATATATTTGGTACTATCAATTTTCAGGGGAAAGTGGATACTATCATCTTTTCTGTGTGCGAGATTAAGACACCACGGCTTGTGTTGTTACGCACGCCCCCACTGACATCCACTTTTCTTTATCTCCTCCTTTCCTCTTAGTCAAAGTCAACTGGGTTTTGGAAGCTTAAAATTTCATAAAGGAAAATAGTATAGGGAGTTTTTTGCACTTTTAGTCCCACGATTATAGTGGCACTGGTAGAATTGATCCACGACTTTTGAACCTTGCAATTTTAGTCCACAACTATTGATTTTTTTGCAAAAATGGTTCTTCCGGCCACTTTTCCGTCAAAATTTCACCGGAAAAAAAAAATTTCTATTTTTAGTCGAGTTAAAATTGACATTTTACTTATCTCAAAAAAATTAAAAGAAAAAAATTGATATTTGACTACATACAATATTACTGGGCTACATACTACTGCCCCAGGCGGCAGAGTACATGTACCACTCCAATGCTGCTGCCAGAGCCCGGGGAACGTCACGGCCACTCCGCCACTTACTGACAGCCCCGCCTGCTCCAGGAACTCCGCCGCCTGGGGCAGTAGTATGTAGCCCAGTAATATTGTATGTAGTCAAATATCAATTTTTTTCTTTTAATTTTTTGAGATAAGTAAAATGTCAATTTTAACCCGGCTAAAAATGGAGAATTTTTTTTTTCCGGTGAAATTTTGACGGAAAAGTGGCCGGAAGGACCATTTTTGCAAAAAAATCAATAGTCGTGGACTAAAATTGCAATGTTCAAAAGTCGTGGATCAATTCTGCCAGTGCCACTATAGTCGTGGGACTAAAAGTGCAAAAAACTCATAGTATATGTACTCTCCATTTTTATTTATACACATCAAAATTTTAATATAGACATTTGTATTTGGACCTACGTGAAAAAAGATAACTTATCAGAATCCGTCACATAAGTAAAATTTATAGAGTAAGATTTGAGAGTCCATGTAGTAGAGTTCTTACAGAAAAGAGTGAGCTAGTGAATGAAACATATTTTTATGTTAAAGAGTAAGATTTAAATAAAAACATTTTTTTAGTGCTTGACTCAACTCAACCCAACAATAGAGACAAATTTATTTGTGTGAGACCAGCAAGATTTTAATTTACTAATTCAGTAGATAGTATTTAAGAAAAGTGTGTTTCTTTGAAATTTATAACCATATGCAACTTTTATGCATACTTCTTAAATATCAAATTCATATTTTTAAAAATAATAGATTTTTAAAATTTTCTATGATGTCAATCGGCATAGATTTAGATTGATGCGAGTAATATATTATAATTAAACATAGTGTTATTTTTTTTTTTGAAAGTAAACATAGTGTTATTTAGGTGGCGACAATAAACCTTTTCTTAAGGTAAAGATGCAGGTAATTTTGGAATAAGGTTCAAATTGGCCACTGAACGTAATCTGAAAATGCAATTAGGCCACTGAACGAACAAAAAGTGCAATTAGGCCACTGAACACTCCAAAAACATGCAATTAGGCCACTGAACTCTCCAAACGTATGCAATTTCACCGGATAGCAGGTTACTATCAATTTTAGCAGGTTACCTGCTTACGTGGCAGCTGAGTTGGCATTTTTAATAATTTTTAATAATTAATTTTTATTTAAAAAAATTTGGGATAAGGTGTAAGGTGTAAAGACCTAAGGCCTAACTGCCTAAGGCTCCAATTAGCTTCAAGTTTATTGTACATAGGTATAATGGAATGTTTTATTGTTTCAGATTTCCTTCACAAGATATATAAACAAATACTTACTTGGGATATATATATATATATATATATATATATATATATATATATATATATATATATATATATATATATATATATATATATATATATATATACTAGTTTTTTACGCGCATTGCGCGATTGAGATAATGCCCAATATTTTTTTAAATAAGTATTTTAAAGTATATCAATGCAAGATTATATTGGAATTGTTCATGCATAGATAATTGAATGTTAAATTTGTGTATTTAAATAGACAATTCTAAGTTTACAAATGCAAGATAATATAGTCAAGATTGATTATAGTTGTCAATAAAATAATTGTATAGGTATGGTTGAAACCAAATACAGAACATAAGGGAGAGAAAATAAAAATTAGGGCATAAATTATTAAATACTCCGTATATACTAATATTGAAGAGCTAATTACTGATTGCCAAACAAGGGCATTGCGAGATAGTTTCCTACTTCAATTTGTTGTGTGATTTGAATACTCTTTTTGTCAATAAATCTTCCAAGTAGTTAATACGATTGACTTAATTATATTTTTTATTTTTTTAAAACAATTATTATTATTATTATTATTATTATTATTATTATTATTATTATTATTATTATTATTATTATATCATCATACCCTTAGGTCATTTTACATGTTAATCTAAACAACTAATTTTTTCAAATATCTTTTTACCAACCATTGATATAATTCGTTGGTCAAATTCGCTAATATAATCCGCTAACGCTAACCGCTAACTGCTGATTGTCAAACAAGGATATTGCGAAGTTGTTCTCACTTCAATTTGTTGTGTGATTTGAATAGTCTCTTTGTCAATAAATCCTTCAAGTAATTAATATGATTAGCTTTATTAATTATATTTTTTTTTAATTTTTTCATGGTATTAATAAAATACTTGCTAAATAAATATATAGCATTATTTTGTATTATAACTTTGATATTTAATTAAAAAAAATAGTGCACAAAAAAAGGTAATAGACAATGTGTGAATATAATCAATTGATGAATTTGAATGTAAAGAATTTTTACATTGGAGAAATATAAAGACAATATAACTAATAAAATTATTTCTCTTAATTAATTTATTAATAATGAATTATTTTTTAATAAAGACATTGTAGGGACAATGTAGCAAATATAATCAATTGATGAATTTGAATATAAAGAATTTTTATATTGCAGAAAAATAAATACAATATAACTAATGAAATTATTTCTCTTATTTAATTTATTGATAATGAATAATTTTTTTTGAATAAAGGCATTGTAGACACATAATTCTAAATTAAAAAATGATATGTATTTTTTTTGTTGTAGCTACTAAATTATTATTTTTAATTAATTTAATAAGAGTAAAATAAAGTACTAATTATGCCAACTTTGATTGGGATGAGGTTCGAACCTAAGACCTTTAAATTCTTATTAAAATCAATGAGTAAGTTAACGGTGAACTAACAAAAATTAACGGAAAAGATAATATTTAACGGAAAAGTTAACGGAAAATCACATTCATTAAGGATAAATTAGGAAATCTTAAGGAAAAATTAAAAATCTGATCAATCTGAGCCATTCATTTGATTAAAAAATTTGACCGCCATTTTTTCTACCCATTATCGGGCTAACTCTCTTGGGCTCTTATATATATATATATATATATATATATATATATATATATATATATATATATATATATATATATATATATATATATATATATATATATATATATATATGTATGTATAGAATAAAAGAAAAATAAATTTACATAATGCTGAGTCACTGTAATTTACCCGAATAAAAGATATTTTTGGTCCTAGACTTATAGTGGCTTGAACAATTTTAGTCCTTTATAAAAAAATTTGCCATTTTATGGACAGAGTTATTGTGGCGAGGACATTTTTGGTCCTCCGTCTATATTTCTGTTAGATAACCGTATGAGAGAGGGGCAATTACGTCAATTTAGGCTGTCTCTTTATTGTGAGATGGACGATTTTGGTCCCACAACCATGTCTTTACTCTGAACCTCATTTATTTGTAGTTTTGCACTACGAAATGCTCTGTCCACAACCATGCCTTTACTGCAACTTGAACTTTCCGACTCCTTCGAATTATGACCGAGAAGGAAACAAAACACACATAGATATAATAGATAGAAGGAGATAGCCTATATTGACGTAATTACCCCTCTCTCAGACGGTTATCTAACAAAAATATAGACAGAGGACCAAAAATGTCCTCGCCACAATAACTCTATCCATAAAATGGCAAATTTTTTTATAATGGACTAAACTTGTCCAAGCCACTATAAGTCTAGGACCAAAAATGTCTTTTACTCAATTTACCCTGTCACTATATCTTACGGTAGGATGTAGAGACTCTGGAAGTGAGAAAATTTCACTTTTTATGGATAAAAAAAGAAATTATCATAAAATTTGTTATTTGTACTAGGTTTGCAAGTTAAATCACTTAATTTGTGACAAATATATATAATTTTTTGTAGGAATAAGGTTCAAATTGGCCACTGAACATAACCTGAAAATGCAATTAGGCCACTGAACGTAATTTGAAAATGCAATTAGGCCACTGAACGTAATTTGAAAATGCAATTAGGTCACTGAACGTAACATGAAAATGCAATTAGGTCACTGAACGAAAAAAAAGTGCAAGTAGACTGCTGAACACTCCAAAAACGTGCAATTAGGCCACTGAACACTACAAATGTATACAATTTCACGAGATAGCAAGTTACCATCAATTTTAGCCAGTTACCTGCTTGCGTGGCAGCTGAGTTAGCATTTTTAATAATTTTTTAAATAATTTTTAATAAATTTTAATAATAAATTTAAATAGTAAATTAAAAAAAAGTTAAATATTTTTTTTTAAAATTAAACAACGGGTGGCCGGCGTTTTATTTTATTTTATTTATTAATTTTTTTTAAAAAAATTATTATTAAAATTTATTTAAAAATGTCAACTCAACTGCCACGTAAGCCGATAACCTGCTAAAATTAATGGTAACTTGCTATCAGGTGAAATTGCATACATTTGGAGTGTTCAGTGACATAATTGCACATTTTTCGTTCAGTGGCTAAATTGCATTTTCAAGTTATGTTCAGTAGCTAATTTGAACCTTATTCCTTTTTTTGTATATATGAGAAAATAAACATAATTTGACTAAGTATATAAAACAAGATAATGACACTTGAAGTCTCGAATAATAT